GCAAGCGCTACTGGGATGGGTGGGAGACATAAAATCACAGGAGATTTTGGCATCCTGGGAGATGTAAAATCCCAGCAGATTTTGGCACCTTGAAATGGTCTGAGAGACATAAAATCCCAGGAGATTTTGCATCCTGGGATGGTCTGGGAGACATAAAATCCCAAGAGATTTTGGAGTCCTGGGATGGTCTGGGAGTTGTAAAATTTCAGGAGATTTTGGCATCCCAAGAAAGTCTGGGAGACATAAAATCCCAGGAGATTTTGGTGTCTTGGGATGGTCTGGGAGACATAAAATCCCAGGAGATTTTGGTGTCTTGGGATGGTCTGGGAAACATAAAATCCCAGGAGATGTGCCAACACCAGCTGCTCCCACTCCTAGAGAGCATAGAGGACCACAAAAATGTGCCAAAATAGCCCCAAAACACCATGCTGACCCTKGGAGCACCACAGGATGGTACTTATGAGACAGCAGGGCAGGAAAACAAGAATAATCTCTCCCCAGGTAAAAAAAAAAGTTCTTCCCCAAGGCCATTGTCCCTGTGGGAAAAGCAGGAGTTTGTGGTGTCCCACACCAGCGTGGTTTTGGAACACAAACACTCTTCAACCTCATTCCATGGAAAGGTTTGGGTGGCCCTTYCCAGCCTCTCTGTCCCTTCTAGGGAAGGTGTTTGCACCCCAGGGACACCATCCCAAAGGGTCTGGGTGCCCCTCACCCCTGGGGAGGGGACTGTGGGTTTGGCTCTGCGTTTCTGCACCCGCCAGAGCGGAGGGGAGACGGAGCAGGCTTTGTTAAAATCAATAAATTCAAGGAAAAGGCCTTGGACGTGTTTCCTCAGCAACTGTGACGTCGCGTGGACGTCTGGCCTCCCCTCCTTCCCCCGCTCCTTGTTGTTATTAAAAGGGAAAATAAAGGGAAGCAGACAGTGGAGGGGAGCTGGGGACAGTCTCCTGGCAACGCTGGGGACAGTAATGTCCTCCTGCCAGGGGGACGTGGCTCCAGCATGGCCAGCAATGCCAGCCCTCGTGGCTGGAGTGGTGGGACGGGGAGGGTGTCCCTGGTGTCCCTGGGGGGGAGGTGACAGCATTTTGGGCACAGCTCTGTCCCCAGGGATGCCTGGCTGCTTCTCAGCCCTGCTGAGCCCCAATTTACCCAACATGAGTCCTTGGTTCGCAGAGCAGTGGGAGCTTGCCCCCTCCAACCCCCCTTAATTCCAGACATTTTTTGGTGATGAGGGCCATGAATCYCTTCCCACAGTGCCAGGCTCTGGCAGGAGGCAGGGCAGGGCTTGGGGACCCTGTGTGGGTGGCCACTGTCACCTGCTGGAGGCCCTCACCCTGCTGTGGCCACACAATTCCCCCCTGTGACACCAAATCTCTGTAATTTGAGCTGTTTAATCCATCCTGGCTCCATTTTACCAGGCTCAGGCAGTGGGGCCAAGCAGGCAGGAGATGGCAGTGGAGCCCAAATGGGCATGGGTGGCTTGGGGACAGGGACAGGCGACTTTTGGCTGGRTTGAGGCATCACCCTGTGCCCAGCAGCAAGGTCTTGCCAGCCCCCGAGCCCCTTTGCTGGGCACAACTCAGCTGTGAAACAGCAGCTGGTGCTGGGGAAGGGGCACACGGGGTCACAGAGCAATCCCAGAGCCCCCAGCCCGACAGTGCCCGGCCAGCTCGGCCATCCCGACCCCAGCACAGCGGGAAAAACCTTCAAAACCCCAATTCTCAGGAGCAGGGAAGGACTCCTGTCCATTTTCCTGCTTCTCTTTGCCTTTGCTGAGGCTCCAGGGCTGCCTCCTGCCAGAGGAGGGTGGTGAGCAGGCTGTGTTCATCCCGTTATCACGGATGCACATTTAATTCGCGGTGGCGTACCCAGCCGCGGAGTGGCCAAGCGTGACAGCGTTTTTTATCGCTGTGTGTTGATCCAGCAGAAGGAATCAATACATTCCTGYGAGTGCCAGCAGCAAGCTGATGCCTCCTAAGACTGAGAGAAACAGAAATGAAGATGTGGGTTTCCCAGGGAGGGCAGCAGGTTTTTCCTCCCACCGTGCTGGGATGGTAGGGGTGGATGCAGGTGGTGCCCAGGAGCCAAAGGCATTGCAGAGATGCTCTTGTTGGAGCTGGCATGCTGCTGTGACATGAGAGTGTCACTCCTGGGTGGGTTGGGGACATCCTCATGCCTCGTGTCCCCTCCTCTGCCCACGACAGCAGCAGCAGGTCCCAGGAGCTGCTTCAGCCTGAGCCATGGCCCAGCAGAACTGGGGACAGCCAGATGGGCAGGCCATGCTCTGGGGTCACCTCTGCAGGGCAGCTGGAGCACAGTGAGCCATGGTGGGGCTGTGGGCTGGGGTTTTGCTCCATCCTCCTCCCCTGAGTGTGTTTTTCTCCCTGCAGGTTCATGAATCACCGCGTCCCGTCCAACTGCAGGTACCAGCCCACCGAGTACGAGCACGCAGCCAACTGTGCCACCCACGCTGTGAGTCCCTGTCCCTGCCCCTGGCTGAGGGAGGACACTGCTCATCTCTCTGGGGATCTGCTGAGGGACTCAAAGGACACSTAAAAATGTCTGAGTTGAGCCCTGGAGCAGTCCCTGGCGGTCTGAGGGCTGTGATGAGGCAGACACACCCAATCCCTGTGTGCTTTGGGGATGGGGTGCTGTCCCTCCATCAGCCCTGGGATGCTGTGCTGCATCTCCCTGGCTCTCACCCACTGTGCCCCACGTCCCTGGGGAAGCTGGCTGTGGGTTTGGCGGGGCAGGAGTGTTTCCAAAGCTCCCTGGAGATGGATTGTTTCCCGGCAGGAGCTGTGACAGGTGCCCGTGGGGTGCTTGTGCAGCAGTGGGAGGGACCCGTCCCCCCCGTCAGGGCTCCTTTTGGGAGCTGACAGTTCCCACCCCGAGTCCTGGCAGATGACTCAGAGGCAGCCATCCTCCTTGTGCCTTCCTCCTCCTCCTCCCCASCTTCTGGACAAGCTATTTTGGAGCTGCACCCYGCAGGGAGGGACCCTGCCTGCCCCTTAAGGGTGGCAGCTTTGACCAGAAGCAGAAGAAACACCTAAAAGGAAAAGTGGAAACGATTGTAGCTGCTCAGTGGGAATGCAGACAGCCAAAGGGAGCTTTGCTTTCCCTTCCAGYTGTGGATCCTGCCCAGCATCCTGGGCAGCTCCATCCTCTACATCCTCTCCGATGACCAGTGGGAAACCATCTCAGCCTGGATCTATGGCTTTGGCTTGTCCAGCCTCTTCATTGTGTCCACCATCTTCCACACCATCTCCTGGAAGAAGAGGCATCTCAGGTACCATCCCTGCTCGCTCAGGGCTCGGGAAGGGGGACAGGGTCCAGGTGCCCCCAGAGCTGTGACCCCTGTGTCCATCCCRCAGGACTGTGGAGCACTGCCTGCACATGTTTGACAGGATGGTGATCTACTTCTTCATCGCYGCCTCCTACGCTCCCTGGTGAGTGGCTGATGCCTGGGAACTGGAACAGGCCCCACTGAAGGGGAAAAGTCAGCCTGGTTCCAATAAATTGGAATAATTTATATCCAATAAATAGGATTTCCCTCTCTGGCTTTGCCTCTTCCCCTCCCCACAAAACCTTCACACCCTATAGATTCCAGTTAGGAAGACCCTCTGGAATGGGACAGCCATGGGGGCGAGGGGGTGAGCCCAGTCCAGGGTGCCACCCTAGACCTGCCTCACCCCAGACCCGGGTCTTGCAGGTTGAACCTGCGGGAATTGGGTCCGTGGGCGTCCCACATGCGCTGGATCATCTGGATCATGGCATCCATCGGGACCGTCTACGTCTTCTTCTTCCATGAGCGGTGAGTGCGTGTGCCCGGTGCTGTGCTTGTGACTGTGAGGGAGCAGGAACTGCAGCAGGGATGTGGGACATGGGATATGGAGCAGGGACATGGGACCGGGATACGGAGCAGGGATGTGGGATTGGGACATGGAGCAGGGATGTGGGATCTGGACACGGAGCAGGGGTATGGGATCGGGACACGGAGCAGGGATGTGGGATTGGGATATGGAGCAGGGATGTGGGATCGGGACACGGANCTGGATCATCTGGATCATGGCATCCATCGGGACCGTCTACGTCTTCTTCTTCCACGAGCGGTGAGTGCCTGTGCCCGGTGCTGTGCTTGTGACTGAGGGACCAGGGACTGCAGCAGGGATGTGGGACACGGGATATGGAGCAGGGACATGGGACCGGGATACGGAGCAGGGATGTGGGATTGGGACATGGAGCAGGGATGTGGAGATGGGATGTGGGATGGGGGACATGGAGCAGGGATGTGCAGCAGGGATGTGGGACACAGGATACGGAGCAGGGACTGCAGCAGGGATGTGGGATGGGGGATATGGAGCAGGGATGTGAGGCACGGGATACGGAGCAGGGACGTGCAGCAGGGATGTGGGATGGGGGACATGGAGCAGGGATGTGAGGCACGGGATACGGAGCAGGGACGTGCAGCAGGGATGTGGGATCGGGACCTAGTGGAGGGACATGGAGATGGGATGTGGGATGCGGGATATGGAGCAGGGATGTGGGACCGGGACAGGGAGCGGGGATGTGGGGTTGGGACTTGCAGAAGGGATGCGGGATCAGGACGTGGAGCAGGGATATGGGATGGGGGATACGGAGCAGGGATGTGGGATCGGGACACGGAGCAGGGATATGGGATCGGGACACGGAGCAGGGATATGGGATCTGGACACGGAGCAGGGATATGGGATCGGGACACGGAGCAGGACATGCTGCCATGAGTCGCTCCTTCCACGCGGTGGCACCAAACCAAAAGCCAAAGTCCCCGCCGTGTCCCCGGAGCCCCGAGCKCCCGGCCCCGAGCGGGACTGACGGTGCTGGCTCTGCCACACCTTTCCCGATGATCCCGCTGCGGAAAATACAGGTGTAAAACTCCGCTGGCCATGCCCCTGCTCCGAGCTGCCTCTCTGTGCCGCAGGTACAAGCTGGTGGAGCTGGTGTGCTACGTTATCATGGGCTTCTTCCCCGCCCTGGTCATCCTGTCCATGGTAAGCTGGATGCTCTCGGGCTCAGCGTGAGGGACAATCCCAGGAGGGTTTGGAAACCTGGAGCAGTTTGTTCCCGGTGGGTGGGTGCAGTGTCCAGGCTGTGTGACAGTAAAGCCATCCCCGGTTCCACGTGGCTCAGCTTGGTTTTGGGGGTGCTCTGGGTGCCCACCATGTGCATTTCCCCAAAACCCCTGCCTGGGCTCTGTCGTGTTGAAATTGTAGGATCGCAGAAATGCAGAATAATTCGGTTTGGAGGAGACCTTAAAGGGCATCCGATTCCAGTTCTCCCAGGGCTGCTGGGTCCCTGCTGGAGACGAGGGGACAACAGGAGGCAGAGGGGTCCAATGGGGTGGTGGGAGAGGGCAGGACCCTCCTTGGCCTCTCTGACCCCCTCCTGCTCCCAGCCCAACAGGGACGGCCTCCCGGAGCTGGTGGCCGGCGGCTTCTTCTACTGCCTGGGCATGGTGTTCTTCAAGAGCGACGGGCGCATCCCCTTCGCCCACGCCATCTGGCACCTCTTCGTGGCCATCGGAGCCGGCATCCACTACTACGCCATCTGGAGGTACCTGTACCGGCCGCTGGACGCCTCAGAGCCCCGCTAGAGCCTTAAAGACATTGTCAGTGCCAGCTGGGGACACGGGACAGGGCAGCGGGGACACAGCCCGGCCCCAAAGCACCCCCTGACYCTATGGACAGCAGCCTTTGGTGCCCTTCCCGCACAGACAGCAGAGCCCGGTGGTTGATTTTAAATATTTTGGTTTTTTTTTAACCTCGGGAACTGTTTATTTTTTTAGGCAAAGGTTTTGGAGCGCAGGGGCTGACTGGGCTGTGGGTGATGGGGGAGTGACCGCTCGCTGGGGGCTGTGSTCACTCATCTGCTCTTGAGCAAGGACTGGAATTGGCCCCACATGGCTGTGACACCCTGGGTTTGGCTACTGGGGTCCTTGGCATGTGYCACCGAGGGGACTGAATGAGGACAGAGACCCAGTGGTGAGAGGGACACGGYGACACCTCTGCACTGCCCGGACTCGGCTCCTAAATGCCCTAAGTCACATCATCATTAACTGCTCCATCCCAGACTCTCGAGGGGATGGTCCACACTCAACAAGCCTTACAAGAGATCAAAACTTGAATCTCTTCCAGGGGTCCCAGTCCCTGAGCACTGGGAACCCTTTCTCTAAGCCAATATCAAGTGCACAACTCGGTACATCCCCCTAGACGGACCCTGGGGTCTCCTACGGACATTTTCTCCCTGCAGGGCTTGGTTTTCCTGTCCAGCCTCGGTGCTGGGGGCAGCCTGGGGCACAGCCCTGCTCCCAGGCTCTGCTGCACGTGTGCCTTCAGCAGGGAGCAGGGCTGGGTGCTGGCTCTTGGCATCTCCCTGGCTGGGGTCAGCCCACCCACCCCATGGGATTCCCTTTCTCTTGCCACTGGGATCATGGAGCCACTGCCTTCTCTGCCCCCATCTTGCTGATGAGCCTACTGCTCTTCATATTTCATTTCAATTTTGGGAAGATTTCTGGCATTGCAGGGTGGGAATGGCTCCATGTGAAGCTTGGAGGTGAGATGTGACGGAGATCCTCGTGATGCTCAGTTTTGAAATGCCCAACCACAGCCACAGTGTGCTAACACAGGACAATGAGACATGGAACACTGGCAGCAGAACGGGGAAACCACAGCTGGTCCTGCTCCCCAAACACCCTGGCAGAGCTGCTGGGGCCAGGAGGGTCTGCTGTGTGCTGGGCTGTGCCTGCAGCTCCCCTGACACCCCCGAGAGCACCAACAGCCCAGCACCTCTTTCTGGCCTTCGGTGAATCACAGCTGCAGCCCCTGGAGTGTCGTGGCAAGAGAAGGAGATTCACAAACACCATCCCACACCTCCTGTTTCTCTGGCACATTCCAGGGAGCTGAGCTCCTGACTCTGCCCCACAACTTAGGCCTCCCCAATCCATGGCACCCCAGGACTGGCTCTCCAGGGCTGTGCCATCTGGCAGCAAATTACCAAAGAGGAAGCATCTGGATGTCACCCACTCCTGACGTGGTGGCTGCGGTCACCAGGCAAAAATAYCCGGTGGGTTTTCACTTCTTCCACGGGCAGAAGGTTCCTGTGAAAGGCTCCTGGAGCTGTACCCAGCACCCCAGCCTGGTGTGGGGCTGGGGGGATCGGTGCCCAGGGCACCCCAAACCAGCCTTAGGGTGATGGGTGCTCTCAGGGATGGGGTGAGCCCAGACCCAGATGCTGCCTGTGCCACCTGCTGCAGATGAGGGGTGGGCAAGGACGAGCTGTGAGTGACCAGCACTTGGTGGAGCAAGCCCAGGGCTGGAGGAGCAGGATGCAGACAGAGGTCCCAGAATGGGAGATGCCATATTTTCTGTCTGGCAAGTGGTTGCCCTTCTCTGTGCCTCAGTTTCCCCATCKGAAATGGGGGTGAAGACACTGACCTACCTCACAGGGCTCATGTGAGGACCCCGTGAAGCGCTCTGGAGGGCAGCCAGTGCTTCATGAACACTGCTTCAATTGTCACTGAGCCTGGGGCACCGCGTTCCCAGAGCCACCACGGGGCACGGTGACAGCCCCGGCTCGGGGTGCCTGGCTCTCTTCCCCTCTTAAATCCTACAGGAAACCACCCTGGGCTCAGACTGTGCACACAGCAGCTCCACCACGGGCAGATGTCCCCTGGCAGGGGCTGAGGATGCCCTGGGAGCACCGTAGGCTTCATCCCGAGGGATTTATCTCAGAAACCMATTTGCCATTGTGGTCTTTTGGCCCTAAATCTGTCCCGGGGGCTCCTGAGGCACAGGGAGATGCCAGAAGGGCCTTTCTGAGGCTGCTTCATCTCAATCTCCTGCTGAAAATCCAGGACAGGACAGATGCCCGGGCTGGAATGGATGGGATGTTCCATTTGGGAACATCACCACCCTGCCCTCAGCCCGGATTTGCTTCTTCTCCTTCTCCCAAATCCTCCCCTTGCAAAGCAGGATGGGGGGCACAGAGCGAGTTATTGGATTGTCCTATTTTATACTAATTTTAAATGACTTGTAACATTCAGGATGTTTGTGGAGGAGGGCTCGAGGGATCTTTTTAGCGTCTCATGTTTTTCGCCATCCATCCTCGTTCAGTCAGTATTTTATATTTAACACAGTATTGGGTCAAACACAAGCAAATGTAAGGAAGATAACGCTAGTGGATATTGTTTCCTGTGGAGTAGGATCAAAATAAAAACTCAAGATACCTCATTCTTGCCTGCTCGTTAAATCAAAATCAATTTCCCTGCAGCATCTGGAAATAAACCCGTTTTCTATGTGACTCATCCCACGTGGAATTGCTCCCCGGTGAGGAGAGGAGCCACTCAGCCAAMTGCAGGGTGCTGAGATGCTGAGCACTGACTCACCTCGGTGCAGGGATGGATGGCATTGCCAACTGCTGGCTCAGCTTGCCAGGGGTGGCCAGCACCGCTTTGCCTTTTGCACCAGCAGCAAAGGGTTTGGGGGTGGGTTGAGCTCCGAGCTGCAAGGTTTCCTTTAAAAAAAAAAAAAGGTTTGCTGACAGTGCCCAGAGGTGCTGGCTGAATGAAATGTTCATCAGCATCTCGCCAAAGTGGCTTCAGCACAGAGCCCTCCACGCCAGCTCCAGCCCTGTCATTTCCTCTCCTCCGTGGCTGAGTCAGAAGCCCACGAGTGGAGCCCGGGGCTGGTGCTGCAGGGGGATGAAGGATGCCAGAGCATCCACGGAGCAGCAGGACGAGGAAACCTGTGCCAGACTGGGCAGAGAGTGAGCACAGCTCGCTGCTGACCCCACAGGGGAAACCCACCATCCCCCAGCAGCCCCAGCAGACTCTCCCGTGGGCACTGGCT